TTCATATATAATTTTATACAAAAATATTTGTTATAAAGTTATCTAGCTCTCAAAAATCAATCAAATTAATAATATTAACCGTAATTTACTTTTAATTAACACACACACAAAAAACCAAAGAGTTTACCTCTTAACCACAGCTATGCCAGTTAGGCCACTTTTTCCACTGTCAACAATTGCCATAACCTTTAAAAGCAACAATATTTCAAATCTTTATAAATACTTTAAGAGATTCAATAGAAAATAGATTTGGCCCTTTATTTTTTAATGTACACCTACAAAAAATACTTTGAAAACACTCAACTCAACATTTCTTTTATAAACCGATTCAATTCAAATTATGATCAATTATCGCCTGTATCCGATGTATGCACTCTTTTTGGCGAGCCAATGTATTATCGATTAACTGTTCGATAAAATGGCTCAGATCGTTGGTGGTGGCATTGACCGATACATCTTGGGTACATGATATGTAACGACTGTAGATATCTGTGTTAAGGGAACTTGAGCGAATGGCTTCATCGCCTTGTTGTAATTTACTGAGATTTTGAGCTGAGGCTAATAGTTTCGATTTGACTTTTTGATGGGCATGTAATTCCTGTAGACACATATAATCAGTGCTGGAAATGTCGATGGTATGTTCGCTGGTAACATCTTTGCTGGGGTCCGAAGCGACATTGGGCGGTTTCTTTGTCAGCAGCATTCGTATGTGATTTTTACGTTCCGATACAAAGTTGCCCAATAGGTAGCCTAAAGGAAATAAAAGAATGCAATTATATATTATTTTATCCACTCCCTCCCCTTATCTTTCTGCAATTCCCCCATCACATTCTTACCTGATATTAGCGTAAAGAATGCTATTGTCAATACCAAACTAATGCAGGTCCTTTTTGTAACATATTCGCGATACTCGGAGGAAGAATTGGCACGCACTGCAGTTTCATAGCTTAGCACTTGATGCATTTTATTATTGTTGTTGTTATTGTGTTTGTCCTTATTGTTTGTGTTGTTGTTGTGAGCGCAAGTTAAAATTGTTTGTTCGTTCGTCTTCTTCACCTTCGTTATTATATTTTTTCAAGTGAATTATGATGTGGAAGTTTCCATTTTCAAGTTGTTTTCTTTATTCCTCAGCATTAACGTTGTTATGAACATTTTAAAAAAGTTTGACTTGGGTTTTCTTTTTTTTTCGTCTTCCTCCTCTTCAAGTACTATAGTGTGTTCCTTGACACGGCAAATAAGCTGGAAATATGCCAGAAAGAAGAAGCCGATGCGGAAAAAGATCATGTTATTAATTTAGAAAAACTTAATGTTATGCAAATATTTTCTATATAAATATTAGTGGGGGAGGGGAATATTTACAGTCAACACCAAAAAAGGAATTTTAAAGAAAATTAGCTCTAATTATGATATTTTGGATACTGATGGGGTAGAAAATCTTCTTAGCAAAAAATATATATATCTTGACCAATTTATTCATTAAAAAATATATAAAAAAATTTCAAAATTTAAAAAATTTAGATCAAAATTTATTAAAACATAAAATGACTTAAAAAAAAAATTAATATGGTGAAAAATACAGTTAATCGTAATCTTATTAGCCCATTTAAATTTTGAGAAATCGAAGCCAAAAGTTAAAAACTCCGCTTTTTACTCGAATTTAATGGGCATGTTCAAAGGTGCCCCACCCGTGGCTTTTTACAGAAATGTATTATAACTTTTTTGTAATAAATATATATGAAAGAAAGTACATTAGTTATTGGAATGCAAAAAAATTTGTTTAACGAAAGAAAACTTTCACAGAATTCTTCCTGCGCCCTTACAACCAAAAGAATAAAAGTTTACAATTACACTGCGAAAACATGGCCACCCATGTACAATTTGTCGACAAATGAAAAAGCTAGCCAAAGTCGATTACGCAGATAAAGAACAAGATTGCCATATACAAAAATGTGGTAGCGGGTCGGAAAAAATTTAAACCAAGATTTTATGAGCGCTGTTCAAAGGTGCCCCCCTCTCCGCTACATTTAATGACACTATTCTACAAAATGTTCCTCCGCGTGGATTTGAACCAAGGACCATTGGGTTTGTAGTCTGTCACACTATTTAGAAAACACTGTAACAACAAGTGATGTTTATGCAAATTAACGTAAACGATAGGTGTTAATATTATTAACTTGATTATTAACTTATTTTGGAGAAGCTCACATATATCGAAAAAAGCCTACCTGGCTTGTATCACACCACCATTTAAAAGCTACAGATATTCATAAGAATATGCCTCAGGATCATATGCGGAATATTCTCCCACAACTCCATAAGAAATGTAGAGCTGTGGGGCATAACGCACTAGGAACCCATCCAGACTAATTAAAGAGAAACCTGACTTGTATCTCACACCAACACAATAAAGCTGCAGATATGCATAAGAATATGCCTCAGGATCATATGCGGAATATTCTCCCCCAAAACAACAAGTAATGCAGACCTGTGGGGTCTAACACACCAGGAAACCATCCTGATTAACCGTAAAAAAGGAGATGGATTTAACACACCTTATTCGAAGATGTATAAAATCGATTCGGCTATAGGACAGTGAACCCTAACTTGTATCTAACACACCACACAAAATCTCAAAGATATTCATAAGAAGATACCTCAGGATCATATGCAAAATATGTTGCCCCAACACCATATGTAATGTAGAGCTATGGGGCCTAACACACCAGGAACCCATCCAGATTTATCAAATGATATTCATATATTATATTGAAGAAGTTATATTCATATGAAGATGTATGAAACCGATTCGGCTATAGGACAGTGAAACCTGTCTTGTGTCTAACACACCACATATATGCCTCAGGATCATGTTGCCCCAACATACGAAATATGTTGCCCCAACACCATAAGTAATGAGATCCTGATTGATCATAGGATATGGAGATGGAATGGTCATACTTTAAGAAAAAATTTTCCATAACATAACCAGAATTGCTCTTGAATTGAATACCCAAAGATCAGGAAACCGAGGTCGAGGCAGAAATACAGTCGGCGACAAATAACAAAAAATCTCTGACAGTGACAAATACCATGAAAATCTAACATTCGGCGGTCCTATATTCAGAGCCTGGGTAATATTTCGCAATATTTACACCGTCTTGACCAATTATAGGTCAACTGCTCCGCTTTCTAATACCAACATATTTCACAAATTTTGTATTCCCGAGGTGAATATTTGCGCCAAAAAAATTAGACACTTTAAATTTTGACTGATTTAACCTTCAATAGATTTGAAAGTCTGCCACTCCTCTTGGATATACTATCAACTTATCGGTTCTATGTTCTTCAGGAGTAAATACATACGCACCAGAACACAATTTGTAATTTTTCACGTAAAAGTCTGGGTTCATGTAACCTGCTAAATACTGAGCGACCTTCATCAAAGCAGTCATGCTCATTATTTGGCCAGATCCCTTCCTGGTGAAAACTTTCGTTGTGTTCGAGTCATAATATGTGGCCTCAAGAGCGTCCATAAAAACAGACAAAAATAAATTTGTTGGTCCATTTCATTCTCTAAATATTAATAGATCATTGCCAAAATTAATAGGGGTATTCTTTGACCAGAACCTGTTCTACATGCAAAATTTCGTGACGATTGGTTCATAGTTATGGCCTGTATAGCGTCTACATACGGACACACATGTCTAAATCGACTCTGCTATTCGACGACGATCGAAAAAGGTGGGTCTAGGATCGATATTTCACGGTGATGAAAATTCATGGGCCCACTATATATACCTGATATCGTAGTTGTGTAGGGTATAATAACGTGGGGCGATGTAAATACAACGGCAAAGGTAAGACGGCTATAATCTGTGGCAGCCCTATGATCCCAACAGTAGTGACAAGAAAAAAGTTTCGGGGTAGTCCTTATATTGGGATCCCCATTTTTCGGTATTTTGAGAGCTTTGGGTACGTTTTTAAACCGAATTGGCTTCATTCTGCTATTTTTTGTTTTTATTGAGTTTTAAATTTTTTTACCGAAATTATAAAGTCACGTTTTGGTATAACACCTACATAACGGCACAGTTCCTCCATTTTCATACGAAATTGATTTAATTTGACGTTTTTGGTATATATTGGAATTTCGGCTTTTAGAAGGTTGGAAAATATCTATCGAAAATTGTGTCACGGTCCCAATCTCATTTTCGGTATTTTGAAAGTTTTTGTCGTATTTCCCCCCACCGAAGTGGTTATAATTTGCCATACCAGTTATATTAAATACGGGATCATATTTTAATAAAGATATGAACTCTTAATCCAAAAATCACACTCGTAGAACAATGATGCCACGCCGGTAGTTCCATGTTGAACCGTTTACTAACGGCGGTTACTAACAAATGTCCGTAAATAGGTACGTCTCTGGATTTTTCCCGAAAATTGCACATATCTATACCTATCAGAGGAACCGAACTCGAGATTACAGTCATTTATATGGAGGTTATGTCTCAACATTGACCTACATTTAAATTTGTCTACAAGGAGGGGTAATATCCTCTTAAAACTTGAAATACCTAATTACAGCGTCTTTGCATGGAAAATAAGGCTAGGGTCCTCAAAAATCGGCCGAAGCGTTACGCCATTGAACACTTTTTTCAGGAAGTTATTATAGCCTACACAACTATGTTGTCAGGGTGTTATAGCTTTGTGCAGTCCCAAGAGTTTGTAACGCCGTGAAATATTGGTCCTAGACCCACCTTTAAGTATGCCAATCACAGTCATATCCCGACTATCTGAATCGATCTAGACATGTGTGACCTTCCGTCCGTTTTACCATTATAATTTGCTATACCTAAATACTTACAGAGATCTACCTATTTTGATATTCTTTAGTACTAGCATTACCAAGCTAAAGGGCATACATTACGTCTCGATGGCAAGGAAATTTAGCTTGAGTTGCCGGTTATGGTCAAGGTCAACGCCTACAATTTTCGCTAGTGATCAGATGATATTTAGGGTATAAAATTGACCGAAACCTTTTATTATTATTGTTGTCTGCTTTTTTAGTCGACGCGATAGAGACAATGTCAAAAAACTACAGTTGTGCTTCTTATGTCACAGGTGACGAATCATGGATCTATGAGCCTGAAACAAACAAACAGTCGTCCATGTGGGTAATCGTGGAAGAAAAATTTCCACGCAAGTGGTTCCATGTTTCTTAGTCAAAACAAGTCATTTGGAGACTTTTCCGCTTTAGCTACGTAAGAGGATCAATTCTGAGTGATAAACCACAATTTTACACCTGAAAATGTAGAAGAAAATCGAAAAACGAGCAGCAATCTTCCGTATTTGTTACCGAAGTCGAGCCAAATTCAATGAACTTTGTTCGTGGAAGAGGCACTTCGAGGCAAATGATTGAATGTTTCTTCATAAAAACTGCTTATTTGGCAACTGTTCCTTGTAAGCTTCGTAGGAATGCTAAACCTCAATTTGCTTGCCTGAAATTTTGGGAAAAAAAGTTAACCAAAGGATACGAGTCATTGTACACCATGAGAATAGACCTCTCACAAATCGGCCATAACAATCGATTTTTTGACCGCTATCTCAAAAAGTACACCCAATTTTAATTGGAACATGTTCTCCTCTATTTGTATCTAAAACATAAAGAGCCACTTTTAAAATCTTATAACATTTTCTGCAGGTCAATAGTTAATCTACCTCCCTACTATGGTGTGAGTAGTTCCATGACATTACACTGTTATATGCCATAAATATAATATAATTCTTACACAAAAAAATATGATGTAATTGATATGCGTAATACCCCAATATGAGTATCGATTTCATTACGAAACCTTCAATCATAATTGCTTTTTCTTTTCGTTACTGTTACCTTGATTGGAAGCCGATTGTAATAAAAAAACGACAAAAAAAAAAAACTAAGTGTATTTACATTTTATTCAACCCCCATCAAGAAAATCACAACACGGTTCAGTTCACATCCTAAGAGTACG